ACTGTGTGCAGTTCTGGTCACCACACCTTAAAAAGGATATTATAGCTTTGGAAAAAGTGCAGAAAAGGGCAACTCGAATGATAAAAGGGTTGGAACACTTTCCCTATGAGGAAAGGTTAAAGCACTTAGGGCTCTTTCGCTTGGAGAAACGACGACTGAGGGGTGACATGATCGAGGTTTATAAGTTTATGCATGGGATAGAGCAGGTAGGGAAGGAAAGAGATACTTTTCTCCCTTTCTCACAATATAAGAACTCGTGGGCTCCTCTTATATTTATTTCCTAGAAACCTCTACATTACTAAAATACAGTTCTGAAATGTAGATACTGAGTTAGATAGTTTGGATTCTGTGATTTACAGGATTCAACCCTAGACATTCAAGAACATTTTCAAACATTATAGTTCTGCAGAAATCAAGCTTTAAAAATCCAGTGTGTTGTACACCTCTTGACACTGGCTTGTATCCTACCACTTTGTTCTGAAAAGTATAAAGCCTTCCTCTACAGAAACGGCTCTTCTGTAGGAAGGCTCCTCGGGCCAGGAGGAGGTTTCAAACTTTGCTGAGTGAAGTGGTAGGATATAAGCCACTGTTTCAGTAATTCATTTTTTTCGGTTCTGTATTATTACACATCATTAATGGATATGGTGATGTGTAATAATACAGAACCGAAAAAAAACGAATTACTAAAACAGTGGCTTATATCCTGGTAAGGAGCTGCGGTGGCTCAAGTGGTTAAGACGCTGAACTGCAGGCTGTGGAAGGTCAGTAGTTCAGCAGTTCAAGACCCGGGTGCCGCATGATGGAGTGAGCTCCCGTCTCTAGTTCCAGCTCCTGCCAACCTAGCAGTTCGAAAGCAAGAAATTGCAAGTAGATAAATAGGTACCACTTCGGTGGGAAGGTAACAGCGTTCCATGCGCCTTGGTGTTTAGTCAAGTCGGCCACATGACCACGGAAACGTCTTCGGACAGCGCTGGCTCTTCGGCTTTGAAACGGAGATGAGCATCGCAACCCTAAAGTCAGATTCGACTGGCTTTCGAGCAAGGGAACCTTTACCCTTTTAATGGATATGGTACTTCACTGAGTTATATAAATAGCTGATTCCACATCCTAAAGAGCTTACCCTTGACTTTCAACAGTGCAGATATGAAAAAGAGGGGAAGGAGGAGGTTGGCAAGTGTGATAGAGTGTGAGGGAATAGAGAAAGGAAAGTGAAGGACAAATGTTTAGAAATGTAGGACAAACGTTTAGAAATGTAGGCATATGTATTCGGGTTTCTTTACAGCTAATGATGCGACTAGAGAGTTAATACAAAGGGTTGGGGAAAGAGGCACAACAGCATGAGAGTGTCTTGAGATCTAGGGTTGCCAAGTCCTATCTTCCCCCCCAGCGGGGGACTTTGGGGGGCGTTCCTGGAGGGGTCGGGGCATCCCCGACGTGATGACATCACGTTGGGAACGTCCCCCACCCACCCACCTGGGGCGCCCGCTTCCTCCAGTACCACTCTCCCTCCTCTCTTTCAAGAGAGAAGGGAGAGGGGTGGCGGAAGGTGTTGGGGCTTGGGGGTGAGTAGAAGCCCCCAAAATGCAGGGGACCCCTCCCAAACCGGGGGTTTGGCCACCCTATACTTAGTAAACTCCTGTCCTTTTACTACAGTCAGTTTAACACAATGATCTGTCGGCCACTATGATCTTGAAATTAGTCCACTTAGAAGACCCACTGATTACTATAAAGCATTCTCATTTCATACACTCTCTTCAACACAGCCATCAATCGCCACAGCAAATCTATGTGTTCATCTCTCCTGTTTTGTATGCCATTTCTTGAAACACAACCACAACTCCATAAGTCGAGCTCAGGTAAATCTAACAAAAAACCCTCACAACTTGATCAGAACCTGCCAGTGAATTTCACAATTATGTCTTAAGTGTAATGTGCAGATGTATATAATAAAGTTGGAAAAGATCCTTGCTTATGAGTTGTCTTTGCTTCTTTGTTCTACACTATTCATACATGTTTATGATGAAAAAGCAATGTACACCTTGTCTCGCCCCTTGGCAGATAAACATACATAGCAATAAGTTAAAACCGACAGTTAAACAGTTCTGTTGCACATTGTGGTACAAGGACCAAAGGAACTCCATTTTGGGTTTCTAGTTATAAATAAGAAATAACAGCTCAATAGGATAATTCCACTACTTGTTTGTAGAATAGTAAAAGAGAACTGTTTTGTATGGTTTTTAAAATAATGAGCTCCACATCAGGCACCACAATTTAGAAAGGTTACCTAATGGTCACAGAGAACAGTCTATCTTCGCTCGTCAATTAAAGTGGTAGGAGAGTCTAGGGGGTTATCTGTATGGTCAAGTATTGATTGAAAGCAGACTAAGGAAAGTGTAGAGTTCAACGAAGACATGGGCACCTGCACATGTCCAAAAGCCATTTGTGCACAATTATTTTAAAAAAGCTTGTAATTTCACTTAAATTTTGGGATTCAGGCTTTTGAGGCTTGGACATTCCCTTTGTTAAAATAAAGCTTCCTGCTCACTTCAGAAGCCTCACTGGTTGTGTTTTTGATTGGGACTAACACACCAGGCCAACAGCCCATTTGGCTTACAACGTTTTCAGAACCACACCAAAAAAGCCCTGAATTTCTCTAGCATAACAATTATAATCCCCACATCAAAACCCAACCCTGGTTGCGGAGCCAAGTAAGTAGCTCCTTGAACTCACCCACCCACTGTCCTTAACTGCATATTCCACTTTAGCACAATCTCAATATAAGTTTCAGTTAAAAAAAACAAAAAACCTCTAAAACCTTCACTAAGTGGCTACATGCTAACAGAAAGCCAAAACTAAACCAGAGAAAAATAAGTGGTTACTAGAGTTAGTCAAGTATCGCAACTTTTCTCCTTCTGTGCCTGGCTCCTGTTACCTCTTTTGCCACTGTAACTTTCCTGCTTATTGAACTGACTGACATCTGAACCAAGAAAAGGTTAAAATGTTTCAGTTAGGAGATCATTTTGTGAAGAACTTGAAATTGCAAGAGAAAATGAAGGGGGGGGGGGAACAAGAACGTGCAAAAAAAAAAAAAAAACCTGTAACAAATATAGCCACAGTAAGTCCTCTCAGGCTGTGGCCACACACAGAACATAATCCACTTACAATGCACTTTCCAACTGGATCGTGCCAGTTCGCACAGTAAAAACCCCAGTTGGAAAGCGCACTGAACGTGGATTATTTACTATGTGTGACTGCAGCCCAAAGTCGTGTTTTGCGAAGGGATTTATTTATCAATCGGAAAGAGGAGGCATTTTTGGACACGTGTTTGTGGCAAGCAGGTGATGAGCCTGGGTGGTAGTCCTAACTGGCTTTTATGGCCGTTCCCTCCCCGGCCAAGGAAACCGAAATGGAGAGTAAGGCCCAACCTGCATCTAGCATTTGCTCCGCTGTTGCACCGAACCCACACTGGAACAGAAATTCCCGTCTACATTGCATGCCGCTTTCACTTAATTTTGCATTTTATGGCAGTGTCCAGACTGCATGCCACTTTCACTTCGTTCGATCTCTTGGTTTTAAGGTAAGTAAAGGTAAAGGTTCCTTTGCTCGAAAGCCAGTCGAGTCCAACTCTAGTCCATGGTCATGTGGCCAGCATGACTAAACACCAAGGCCCACGGAATGCTGTTACCTTCCCACTATCTGCATAGATGTACGGCCGTTTTATAGCCATTGGGGGGGTTATTATGCAGTAAGTACGGCGTTGGCCCCAATGTAGTCAAATGTGGTTTTGAACCGCATCTTTTTCTGTTCCAGGGTGGGTTCAGTCAGGGGCGGATTAACCATTAACCATGAAGCAGACTAAGCACGTGCTTAGGGCGCCAGGGCCAAAGGGGGCACCACGAAATTGGGAAAAGGGTGAAAAGAACTTTATGTAACCCAAGCTTGGCTTTGTTTGTCCAGTCTATTGTGTTATCATAGGAACACACTTTTGTGTTGCTGCGACCTGCATTGTCCATCTGGTCAGAGAGGCCAACAACTAACATGGACTGGGGTCAGTGTGGAAAGGAGGGGGGGCACCAAGATGGGTCAGTGCTGAGGGCACCGGTGAGCCTTAATCCGCCCCTGGGTTCGGTAAAACCACTGAGCAAATGCTAAATGCAAGGTTGGGCCTTAAAGGAGGACGCGATCTGATCTCTAAATAAAGAGAGAGAGAGAGAGAGACAGACAGACAGACAGAGCATTATTAAACAGTCCTTCGCCTGCCTGGGTTGCCAAGCGGGCCGCGTAACCTTAAGACTGGCCACCAACGTCCCCTCTAAGCTGTGGAGTCTTGTGAGCAAAAATTCTACTTTGTGAGCTACTGGCAGTGTTCCCTCTAAGCTGAGTTAGTGTGAGCTAGCTCACAGCCTTTTAGCCTCTGGCTCACACATTTTCGTCTTAGCTCAACGGAAACGTCTTCGGACAGCGCTGGCTCTTCGGCTTGGAAACGGAGATGAGCACCGCAACCCTAGAGTCGGACTCGACTGGCTTTCGAGCAAGGGAACCTTTACTATGTACAACCGTTATAACATGCTCAAAGAATTACAATACATTACTCATCAGACTTCCGAATATGTTTTGGCGTCAACTTAAGTTTACGCGATTTGGGGTTCTGCACGAATCAGCTTGCGCTGGAGCCCCTCCCTTCCTGAGCGAGGATAAAAATGTGTGAGCCGGAGGCTGGAAAAAACGGTGAGCTAGCGCACACGAACTCAGCTTAGGGGGAACACCGCTGGCCACACCGCTGGCCCTGATTCCGGGCGACTGCATCAGGAGGAGGCGGCGGCGTTGTTGTTTGCAATGGTGGGGAGATTCTCTCCTTCCACCTGGAGGGGGACGAGGCGGTGGGGTTGGAGCCAGCTGGCCAGGCGGCGTCCGCTCCCCCCCATCTCTCCAGCTACTCTCTCCATTGACACACACACACACCACCTTCTCCCTTTTCCCTCCTCCTCCTCCGCTCTCACCGGCACCGCGCTGAGCCCCTGCTTTTCCGACGCCACCATCAGGATCTCGCTGAAATCCATCCTGGGCTCGGCGGGTCCTTCACCCGGCCCGGGCGGCAGGCGGAGGCGACGCGCGGCTGCTCCCCCTCTCCGTCTCCCGCGTGCCCAGCCGACTGGGGAAAAGTTCCCCTCTCTCTCTCCTCCCCCCCCCCCCTTCCGGCTCGGAAGGCCACCCTCCCCACCCCTTTATATCACCTCGGAGTCATCGCCCTCTCCTTCCCCACCCCTTCTCCTCTTAGTCAGACGTCACTTCCGCCTCCCCGTGCCCGCTGTCGCCAGCACGCAAACAATCTCCCGGCTTTCCGGAGCGGACGTGGCCATAAACATCACGTGACGCGGGTTTAAAAAAAAAAAGAGAGAGGCTGCGGAACGAAGCACGTGTCCGGGGAGGGGCGGGGTTTATCCGTCGTTGGAGAATGTTGGCGTCGGTCCCGCCCCCCTGAGAGGCGGGGCTTGTCCGGGGTTTCCTTTGCAGCTGGGACGTGGATTGCTTTGCGGCGGGCTCTTTCTTGCTCGTCGGTCCGCAGCTTCTGTTGAGTTTGTTCCCTCTAAGCTGTGGGGCCTTGTGCAGTGTTCCCTCTAAGCTGAGTGGTTGTGAGCTAGCCAGTGCCGGATATAAGCTAAATAAGCTATGGTTTAGGGCCTCGCAATCTGCTGGGGCCTCCAATAAAAACACAATATAAAAAATGATTTCAACTATTAAAAAGGCGTATATATTTTAATTTTTTTTCTGAGACCAGCTGATGTAATTTAAAACAGTAGGGGGCCTCTGGGTTTTGTATAGCCAGTTTGGTGTGAGAGCCAGTTTGGTGTAGTGGTTAAGTGCGTGGACTCTAATCTGGGAGAATCAGGTTTGATTCCCCATGCCTCCACTTGCAGCTGCTGATGTGACCTTGGGTCAGTCACAAGCTCTGGCACAGCTGTCCTTGAAAAAGAGCAGTTTGTGTCAGAGTTCTCTCAGCCCCACCTACCTCACAGGGTGTCTGTTGTGGGGAGGGGAAGGGAAAGGAGTTTGTAAGCCGCTCTGAGACTCCAAGTGAAGGGCGGGGTATAAATCCAATCTCTTCTCTTCTTCTTCTTCTTCTTCTAGCTTAGGGCCTCAGCAAGTCTAAATCCGGCCCTGGAGCTAGCTCATACTATGTTAGCCTCCGGCTCACACATTTTAGTCTTAGCTCAGGAAGGAGGGCTCCAGAGCAAACTCTTTTATGCAGTAGCCAAATCGCTCGCTCACAACTTTAAGGCCAGCAGCTCACAAAGCAGAATTTTTGCTCACAAGACTCCACACCTTAGAGGGAACATTGGTCTTGTAAGCAAAAACTGTACTTTGTGAGTTACTGGCATTAAAGTTGTGAGCGAATGATTCGGCTACACTGGTTACAACCCGTGTTCCCTCTAAGCTGAGTGAGTGTCAGCTAGCTCACAATTTTTTTTAGCCTCCGGCTCACACGTTTTTGTCTGAGCTCAGGAAGGAGGGCACTAGAACAAACTAATTCCTGCAGTTAACTAAATTGCTTGCGCACAACTTTAATGCCAGTAGAATTTTTAGAATTAATAAAGTCGAATTTTTCCTCACAGGACTCCACAGCTTAAAGGGAGCATTGGTTGCAACCACCCTAGGAGCACCAACGCAGCATCGGGCATCGATTCAGCGCAATGTTCCCTCTAAGCTGAGTGTGAAATTCCACCTCACAGGAGAGGTCATTCTGGCTCCCCCAGCTCTTGGGAGGGGCTCTTTAAAAAGTTATGGCCGCCAGCGCTGTTCTCGGTGGCAGCTGTGACACCCGCGCAGGGGTGGGCGGGGCGAAGTGTTCTTTTGCCTCCCTGAGCCCCGGGGTGGTGGCCTTGGACTCACAGGGGCAAATTCCACCTCTCGTGTGTGATGTCCGAGCTGCGTTGCCACTCGGACATCACACGCGAGAGGTCATTCTGGCTCCCCCAGCTCTCAGGAGGGGCTCTTTAAAAAGTTATGGCCGCCGCTTGATTGTGAGTAAATGATCTACTGAATGCATGTGAAGTTAAATAAAGACAGCTCTCTTCAGTGGCTGTGCGTTGACTCACACCTGGAAAGCAACCTAGACAGGACAGTGAGAAAAGAGGTGGGCTTCCCCTCTCCTTGCAGTAAGGGTTGATGGACAAAGAAACGGAAAACAACAATAAAACTCCTATCTTTGTGCCTCTGAGCTCAGGAAATTACTCTTAATGACCCAGTCAGAGGGAAGCTTCTGGGACCCCTAACTGTGGACTCCAATTCCCAGGGTGCAAGTACTCTTAAAAGGTAAAGGTCCCCTTGCTCGAAAGCTAGTCGAATCCGACTCTAGGGTTCTGGTGCTTCTGTTTCAAAGCCGAAGAGCCAGCGCTGTCCGCAGATGTTTCCGTGGTCATGTGGCCGGCATGACTAAACACCAAGGCGCACAGAACGCTGTTACCTTCCCACTGAAGTGGTACCTTTTTATCTACTTGCAATTTCTTACTTTCGAACTGCTAGGTTGGCAGGAGCTGGAACTAGAGATGGGAGCTCACTCGATCATGCGGCACCCGGGTCTTGAACTGCTGAACTACCGACCTTCCACGGCCTGCAGTTCAGCGTCTTAACCACTTGAGCCACCGCAGCTCCTTGTACTGCTTGTAGTGGGGAGCAAACCCTTTCCCCCACATGCTCTCATGGTCAATACTCTGAGCCTAGAGCCCAAGAGAAAACATGAAATGGCTGGGCATTGCAAGCTTCTCCCTCCCCCCTCAGGTCTACTTAGAATGGCAGTGGCTCTCTCAGATTGAAGTCTTTCTCATAAGCCACAGCCTGGTCCTTTTAACGGGAGGTGCCAGGGATAGAGACTGGGACTCTCTGCATGCCAAGCAGAGGCTCTTCAACTAAGCCACATGCCTCTCCCCCAGTCCAAAGTCAACATGAATGAGCCCAGCAAAAATATATATATACGTAAATAGAAACACACTGTCCCACTTTAGCAAGACAAAGCTCAGAGAAGGCGAGGGGGAGTCGGAGCCAGTTGCACCCAGGAGTTCAAAGGCAGGAGTCTGGCAAAAAAGTTAGCAACACAGACCCACCTTAGCAAGCACAAACACAGGAGGCAACGCATGGGGGAGGTGGAGTCAGTTGCACCCAGGCGAGCAAAGGCAGCCCAGCAAAAAAAAGAAGAAGAAGAAGAAGAAAGAAGCACAGATGTGGAAGGCAAAGCATGGAGGAGAGGGGGAGTTACAGCCAGTTGCACTGAGGAGAGCCAAGGCAGCCCAGCAATATATATATAGAAGCACAGACAAAGCACGAAGGAGCCGAGGGGTAGGTGGAGCCAGGGCATAACAAGTTCACTTGCTTGAGGGCCAGATTAAAGCGCTGGGTGAGCCAGTTCCGGCCCGCGGGCTGTACATTTGACACCCCTGTTCTAAATGTTTTTAATTGATTTTCCCAACAATCCCCCCCCCCCCCCCCCCCACACTTTGTTCTCTCTACAGAAAAAACCCCCCCCCCCCTCCTGAAATTATGCTTCTTGAAATGAAGATGTAATTGCTGCTAGAGATTTGGCTGTAGTTTTTCATGACATGTCAGCTAATGGACTGTTGCAATAAAGTTATGGATGAAACCCTGAAACTGCATCTGGGTAAAAGGAAAAAAAAAAGGAAATAATAGTTGAAATGTTGTAGGGCCCTTTCCCATTAACTGCGTTACAAAGAAACCAAAAGCAGAGAGGGGCTTTCTTGTTCTATCATGGGATACTGTAACAGAGCAGTGGTACATCTTTCCCTCTTGCAGTATAAAACAGTGTAACTAATTCCCTGTTAGACTTTTATGACAAAGGTGGTGTAACTGCTGAGTCAGTTACAAATACAGTTCTGCAGGTTTTGAAGAAACTTGAATTCTGTATAGAAAATGTTGCTTGTTTATTTATTCATTTATGGTCCACATTTCTTGCTGAGAGTCGAGGCAGATTGCACAAAAGCAGTGCAATTAGAACAGTATAGTACAATCAGTAATGCAATAAAACAAGACTGCAATATTAGATTCATGCACTAAACAGTAGAGTATATACAATACAGTAGTATAGTACAACAATGAAACAAAACTGGGTTACACACTGGGTTAGAGAAATAGTGCAGCAGTGTGGTATGTACAGTGAACAACGCGACCTAAAATTTCACAGGTATTAACTATGAATGTATTCCCTGTATAAAAAGGCCCACCTGAAAAATTCCATTCAACTATTCATAGTATAGCACAAAAAGTAGCCAGTACTAAAGCTATATTTAATGTTAATTGACTAAGACCACCAACATTACAGTGTATTCCTATGTGCTGGCTGAGTTTCAGTTGGCTGGTTGCAAGCTGCAGAATCTTCAAGAGACAAAAAAATATCAGTTGAATATTTTTATATGTTTATTTTTTACAAAATTTATACCTTACCTTTCTGCCATCATCTGGGCTGCTTTTCAGAGAAGACAAACGCCATGCTCTTTTGTAAAACTGCTCTTAAAGCCAGTTGAGCCATCAAACAATACTAACCAGGCATTTGCTACAATATAAGTAGCTCTTTTCCAGCAAAAGAGGCTACATGTAAAACAGTCACAGCAATATCCATTACAAGAACCGTGGAAGAAGCAAAAAGGAAAGTGACCATTACAATGACTCCTTAACTGAAGAAATATGCCATCGTAGTTCTTATGCCGGATGGGCGGGATAAAAATCACTACAGTAAAATAAAAATCAATAAATTTACAACAGTGACTTTCTGGATTCTACACAGCTTTTACAGATGTTTGTCAAATAATGGTAGAGTGGAGTGAGGTCCTGTGATCAGGACATGAATAGAGAATTTGAACACTTGGCAGAATATTATTTGGGAATGAGTGTTGATTTGGCATCGGTTTTGTTTTCTGAACATCAATAATGGCTCTGCTTGATTGTGCTAGTGTTTCCTGGAGTGAAAGAAGTGGGAATTCATCTATATCTCTGATTTGCAAGCAATGTTCCCTCTAAGCTGTGGAGTCTTGTGAGCAAAAATGCTACTTTGTGAGCTGCTGGCATTAAAGTTGTGAGCAAGCGATTTGGCTACTGCATAAACTAGTTTGCTCTGGAGCCCTCCTTCCTGAGCTAAGGCAAAAATGTGAAGGATATGGTTTTGGTTCTTACCC